CGCCTTGCTGACAGAGGTAGGTGTCGAACTCGGCACTAAGGTACTCTCCCCCTCGGTCCGAACGGAGTACGCGGATGGCGGCCGTTGGTGCCTGCCTGGTGACCCAGGCCCCATAGGCCTTGAAGGCAGTAAGTGCTTCACTCTTATGTTTCAGGAAGTAGAGGCGAGTCTGACAGCTGAAATCATCAGTAAAACTGATGTAATATAGGCTGCCACCTATGCTAGCAGTCTGTGCCGGGCCCCACAAGTCTGAGTGGACCACTTCACCATAGGCTGGTGCACACGTCTTGGTCTCGTCAGGAAAAGGTTTCCTGGTGGATTTGGCCTTGGTGCACGCCTCACAGAAGGTAGGTTTCGAACTCTCGTCAAGCGTTATGCCTGTGACTACTCCTTTCCTGACAGCCTCCGCTGCTGCGCTCTGGGACACGTGCCCTAGTATACGATGCAGTTCATCGACGGTAAGTTTGCCTTTTGCTACGTTGGCATGATGCTGATGCGTATTTCGGGCAGCTGCAACACTATAAAGTCCCTCAACCTGCGGGATCTCAGCGATCACCCGGTGGTTGGGTCCTTGCGATAGGACCTTGCACATTCGTCCCTCGAACAGTACGGCCATGCCGGCCTCAGCGATCCGGTGAGTCGATATGAGCGTGAAGGCCATTTTAGGTGCGTATAATGCATTTCTTAGGGTGACCTTCGTTCGTTTCTCACCAAGTGGTAGTTCTAGCTCCACATCGCCCCTCCCTGTAGCATTAAGTGTGGACCCATCTGCGGTGCGTATCTCCTGCGGGGAGATTGGGGTGAAATTACTAAATTTGGCTCTATCAGGGCAGAAATGGGACGTCGCCCCCGAATCCACGATGGCGCTGCGTCTTTTGGGAGGTACGTTGAGGACTTTCGCTACGCTGGCGAGATCCGCCGTGACGAACACGTACTGATCCTGCGTTTCAGCCTCTGCAGCCGTATTGGCTGTCTCTTTTTGCCCCTTCCGCCTCTGCTGGTTGGGACCTTGTCCTTCCTTGCTGCCACCCTTCCTCCAGCAGTCTGTTTTGTAATGCCCCTTTCTGTCGCAATTGAAGCATGTGACGTCTGGATCAGCTTTGGAGCTCGAGGACGAAGCCTTCCTGCCCTTTCCCTTGGTCTCTTTGGCAGATAGTGCCGAGTCCTTGGACTTCTTGGAGGGGCGGCGCTCTGTGAGTAGGCGGTGCTCATACTCCTCGGTGACAATACTGATCAGTTCATAGGATGTCAGCGGGGTCTTTACAATTTTTGCTGCGGCATTAATGGATGAGAGGAGGGGGCGATACGATTCAGGAAGGGAGCCAAGTATGATGGCATGGAAGTCGGTATCGAGGATGGCTGCGCCCATGCCAGCCAGCAACTCCCGCAAATGTAGGAGTTCTGTGAAGTGGGCTTTGACATCACCTGATTCTTCGCACCTTGTTTCCTGCAGGCGTCTGTGCAGGTCAATCTGCACAAGTTCTGTTTTGCCTTCGTGGATCTGGCAGATCTCTGCCCAGACTTCACATGCGGCCTCGAACTTCTGGACCCTCAACAGGAGGCGATCCGATATTGTGCAGAATATCTGCTGTTTTACTAGTGAGTTCTTTTGGAGATACTCATCAAGTTTCTTATCCAGCTCATCAATCTCGTTTTGAGTGGGTGTCGAACCGTCCGCCTTCAGTGGCTGGCCCGTCTTCTCATCAAGGAGGAAGGGTATCGGCTCGACTGCACAACCGTCCGTATATTGCATCAAACCTCGAGCACCTATTGCCGTCATTGTTCTTTCCTTGTAGGTGATCCAATTTGTGCCGTCTTCGGCTAACTTTGGGACATTGAACAGAGTCAACGTGGTACTGGGGAGCGTATTATCATTGGTCATGGCAGGGCTCATAACCTCTAGAGATTAGAGGTAGAGTGGGATAGAAACGATCTAACAGGTAAGAATAAGTCTCAGTTTCTGGAAAGAACTCTTATTGACGAAGCGTGTACCTAACAGGTAAGAATAACTACGCTGAGTCAGTTAGGTGTAACAATAACGATAAAGGTATAGACTCACGTCTCAGTTTCTGGAAAGAACTGAGACGCTCGTAACGTTTGGGCGCTGGTATTAATACGGTAAGCGCTCTCGATTATTTTGAAGGTGAAAATTTACTTTGGACCATTTCGGTCCCGACGTCAACAGGTACTCCCTGTTCCTTCTGTTCCCGACCTCCCTCGACCAATGACTTGCGCTCGTACCTGCTACTTGTCATTTCCTACTCGTCATCTTGTGCCTGTCCATCGGGTCTCTCGGTCTTCTTCGACTCTGGCGCTTCGGATGCCAACAGGTGGCGCACCAGCTGCCGCTTCCCTCTTTCATAAAAAAAAAGGTGATCGCAATGTGTGGCGCTCGGCCTGAAAGGCCACCTGAAGCTACCCCATAGGTCTGTCTGCTTCCTGAAAATCTCGTGCGACAAACACATGTCGCCGAATTCGAAGTTTCGAACTCTCGAAGTTTGTGAACCCGGAGAAATTGCAAAGTCACACCACGTGAGGGCCGTTTTGGGAGTTCCAGACGGACAGACCTTATAGGTAGCTTCAGGGGGCCTGTATCGTGAAACTGTTTGTAACAGCGGCTAGCCAGCACTTATGCATTGCTCCATGAGTGTAACCATTCTCCCGCACGAAGGATGAATCTGACTTTGGTTGACTGTTAGGCTCCGTGGCATGAAATTCATCAATATTAATTGATTTTGCTTATCAGTTTGCCATATGGAAATACACATGGATGATGATGATCAGTGTAATCGAGCCGTAACGTCAATATTTATCATTGAAAACAGATCAAAAGGCGCACTCCATCCTGATTGTACCACCACCCCTCCTCCCCCCTCATCTCTGCAATGACTACTTCCACTGAAGCATATTCACCTCGTGCTTCAACAGAGTTATATTTGCCTCTTGCCATCGTGCCACTGCAAGATGCCAATGCAACGCCAATCTCATTACCTGGTCATAATTCATAACTAATGGCACTCCGCTACCAAGCGTCGAACAGTCATCCCAAAACCCACCAAAACAACTGTATCATGATGATACAGAGCAATTATATTGCGGAAGGGGGAACCATCAATATAGTTTTCAAGTCACTGCAACGGTTCCAGTAAGTTCTTTGTATGTCTGAATGACAAGACTCACCTCACAACATAAACAGCCGTCACCAAGTTAGAACACGTTACCGCAACTGCAGAGCCCACGCCCTTGGAGCCTCCGTCAGCGATGCAGGCAGAACCTACACATGGTCATGAAAGTATAGTATTGAGCGGCAACACATTTGGCGAGTGCGTCATGATAAACATAGGATCGCCAAATTGTACTGGAGCTGGTAGGTCGTTTAGTTCGTATGAAAGAAACTCAACTTACAGTCGATTGGCATCAGTCAAACAAATCGCTCTTGCGTCTTGAACGTCTAGCGGAATGGAATAAGGGCTGATGTTGAATGTACTAGTCTTGTATTTTGCGCCCACCTGTATGCATATGTAGAAATATTGACGGTCAATTATTTCTTAAAAAAATCAGGATGTGCTGTGTGGCTTGGCGGTGCTCGTAATCGCCACCACCTTGATTTGAAACATGGCGTTCCATAGCGACTTGCAAAATAACTTCTTTTTCCATCCCATTCTTACCCTTCAGGTCCTTTTCTAACAGGCACTTCCGCATCAAACAGGCTACGCCACTGAATCTGTGAGTCAACATCAACACGTGAAGTACAGCAATAAGTTTAATTTGCATCTCTTCTTCTTTTGATTATTCGGTGGTGTATTTTGAAATAGGAATCCATTGCTTATCGTGTGATGGAAAAATATTGAGATGAGACTAATGACACGCGGAACTTGCACGGAACACTAACCTCCAAGTAGCTTCAATTGCAAATAACGCGAGGTCGATATGGTAGCAACAACGTATTCACAATGATTCAGCCTAGGTAATTTGTTCAAATAGCACCCACACTCGCGAATCCTTCAGCCCTGATGAAGACTCAGATTTGTTAGGCATCAACTTGAATGCTCACCATATTTTGTTCCATGTTCACTTAAATGTACTCCGACTCGGAGTCGTACGGTGCTTCTCATGAAATGCTCGCGTCCTGGCTTGATACAAACTTGAGGCATGGGAAAAGAGATCTGATAAGAGAGCTCCAAATTAATAAATTTTGCGGTGTTTCTATTGGAGACCAGCCACTGGCGTCTGCAGGGTCAAGGTGTGCGTGTACCCAACGGTTCTTGATCCGTAACGTGAACGTGAAGCGCGAGTCGGTACTGCGGCATTATAAATTATCGCTGAGTCCATGCATCCAAATGAGCAAGTATATAGCACTGTGATATAAGACGGCCGACTCAGCTACTTAGTACTAGAACAAAGGTACGGGCTGGAATCCTTTCTCCTAGAATACTGTTTGGTGCGAGTCCGACTTCAGGTGGGCGTGGGACGCCGGTGATATGCATAACGCATAACGCATAGGCCTCGGACTGGACAGCTTTATGCAAGAAGCCTTCTTGGGGGTCCTGAGGTCAAGTTCGGATCCTGCTATTACTAAGTAATTTGAACTTTGAACCTACCTACTAAAGGGCACACAGGTGTCAGGAATCGATCTTCTTTTCTTTGAAAAAATTCACACAGCCAGACCCACCTGTCGCGGGAGAAGCCAGCACCCGATTGAAAAAGGTTGCAAAGGCTAAAGATGCACCTGCCAGTGCGTGCTGCCTTAGCAAGACAAGTATTCGAAAAAATCACTCCCGTGTGCAGAAGAGCAAGTGAATCAGATCGGTATCGTGTTCTTATCGTTCCTTTATGGGCTCTGTATATGTGACATGCCACGATATGATACATAATGTACATATCCTTCGAATGGCAGTCGAGTCGAAATCCACTTTTCTTCCATAGGAAGCACGGAACATTCCGAGGGACCGACGATCATCGGCATCTAAAAGTTGGTGCTCTTCCTGTGAATAGTTACCTCTTTATTGCGAGCTCATTATTACCTTTGGGAAGGCAAATGAGTCGAAATGACCAGGAGCGCTAAGCTTAGGTGCGTACAGTTCGTCCTAACTTTTCTTTTAAAATCGCCAGTGAACTACATCTTGTCATACATGTATATACAGGTGAATACATTTCAAGAAAAATTGCAATAAACTCCCCCCTAACTGTTGCGGTCATCTCAGGACGCGAGAGCGGTTTGTTTAACTGACGCAATCAGTCTTCAGCTAAATTTCTTTCAGATGAACTCGAGAACCTACCAGCTCCAGTGCAATTTGGCGATCCTATATTTATCATGACGCACTCGCCGAACGTGTTACCGCTCAACACTATGCTTTCACAACCGTGCGCTGCTGGCTCTGGCTGAGTCACCAATGGAGGGTCCAAAGGTGTGGGCTCTGCAACCATTCCGACGTGTTCTAACTTGGTCGCGGCTTATTTACGAGGTGAGTACCCAGTAAGTTAGATGATCGAAGAACTTACTAGAACCGTTGCAGTGACTTGAAAGTATGTTGATGGTCCCCCCCTCCGCAATGTAGTTGTTCTGTATGATGATAACGCAACTTCTTGGGTTCGGTGGTTGTGCGAGACTTAGCAGCGGAGCACCATCAACATGAGTAGAGGGTGTCGCACTCGTATCTTGGAGTGGACTCAGTGGAGTAGCGATGAGAGGCAAACATGACTCGTTTGAAGCACAAGGTAGGTTTTCTGTGGTGGAATGCATTGCGGAGATGGGCTGCGAATATTATAGCGAGCCTTTTAAGGGTTTGGCACCCTCTAGCGAGATCAAAAAAATCGAACTTACTATTTTCGGCATGAACGAGAGACGGCACTGGTATCGGGCCAATTCTCAATGTTCCTGGTTGATGCACTTAGCTAATAATACCAATCATACATAGCTTTGATCTTGTTCAAATCGCCCCACTTCGAAAGATAGTGCGATAGGTCTTCCTGGCTGAAGTGTGCCTTCAAGAAGAGATGTGAACACTACGAGTCAGACGTACTGTAGGTATTGTCTAACATAAGGCTTCGCCCCAACGGACAATAAACGTTAAACAATGACAAAAGAGAAAAAAAAATAGAGACGTAAATTAAAGCTGATCCCTGGAGCGAGATTTAAATCACCACGCTTCAGCGTCACTTTCAAGGTTTGAATCAGAATCTAGGATTGAAAATGCTGTGGAAAGTCACACAAATTGAGCTGAAAGAAACCCCATGAATTCGGATACAAACAGATCCAAACCCGAGACCGTACCTAATGTAGAACGCATACAAGTAGTAAAAATGGGTGGGAGAAAAGGGAGGGTGCGCAAAACTTGCTAGTGACATGACGATAATTCGAGTGAGAAGAGGCAAAGGATGCCAGTCTCGCTAGGCATAGACCGCTGGCTCCACTAAGGAGGTGGCAACGAGAGTTGCACGAGGCATATTTGTCACATGCGATCACCGGCATCAGCCAAGGAGGCAGAGGGACTGAACACAGGATGCGATGCACCGAGCATCAGCCCTAAACCCAGGATTCAGGAGGACGAGCACGCTCGTCCAATTACCCTGGTGTAAATAAAGTTAAACTCGATTAAGTACTACTAAAAGTAGTAATTGGTGACGCTCGGGCATCAGATGCCAGGCCTTGAGGGGTCCGATTATGGTTCGGGTGATGGTTCAAGCTACTCAGCAAAGATCGCAGTTATCATAGATGCATTCGAGTGAATCGGATCTGATAGTATTATTCATTCCTTCGCGATGCTACTTCGCGCAGAAAGTTTGCGACTTCGAAATTCCGGTCTAGTCTACATCTGCCTGCGCGCGGGCGCGCGTTGGAACTTGTCATTTTTACGACTCGTTACCGTCTTGAATGCATCAAATTAGCCATCTTCCAATCCGTTCCCCTCCACACTCGAACTAGCGGGTGGGAAGGAGCCTGAGTGTCACCATGACTTTGGCGAGTCCACAAGTAATATTAATTCCAGGCCTAGTAAGCGCAACAAAATCCTCCAAGTATTATATTAAATACCATCTCCACCGCATTACTCTCACCCTCACATCCTCACCCTGTCCACACACAACGACATAATCTTGCTCAAACTTGAAATCCGTATCCTGGAGGTTGCTTCGGACGACCTTCGTACGATGCTTTGAGGCACTGTCTTGTCTGAAGGCGGCAAAGCAGATATGGGATGAGGTGGAGGTGGATCTCGGACTGGGTCTGGTACTGGGGTTTTTTTGGTCATCTTTTGGCGCATCGGAGGTGGTGGTGTCGTTTTCACCAGTACTCGAAGCGGAAGGTGTTATTTTTGGCGTAGACGTGTTGTTACCGTGTTCTTATCGTTCGCAGGTTCCTCGACAACGTCCATAATCTTCCCGTCTGTGGAAGTGTGTAGATAGGAGGATAGAGAGCACGAATCCTTCACTCGGGCTAGGGAGTGCAACAAGGTATGTCTCTTTGTCACTCTCGAGAACCA